TTGAAACTTTTAAAGTTTCTTAAAGAAACCAGATGCTAAAGTGAATGAGACTAAATCTTACTGTAAAGCGGCTGCAGAAGGTCTGAGGGGCAGCGCTTGATGAATAACTCCAGCATACAAAGCAGCAGCTGGAATGATATGACCAGGTCATCCTCCATCTGTAAGACCCTTCCTGCAGACAGCACAGATGTTACACGTTAGATGCACCATCACGACAATACTGCCGCACACTACAGACGACAGCGCTGTGACAATGAGATGAAAAACAATTCATTTGGGCTCTACAGCTGTGCACTGAGGAGGAAGGAAGGATGAAAAGAAGAAGATAGAGCAACATGAAAACTATTCCATCAAGTGTGTTAACAGCTTGATCTTTCTTGTTTTTGTTCTTGGTAATGGGTTCAAAGCTTAACGTACCTTTGGCCAAGAGAAACATGGTCCAGCAGCTCCGCATGGTCTCCCTCTCCCTTGAAAATAAGACATCGAACCGTTAACCTTTCACTAGAGTTGCACGCAATTATCAAACACGAGTATATAAAGATACTCAAAAAGCAGTGTGTCAAACGCATTTCATTTGTGTCATCAATGACAAACTTACGTGCCATCAGAAACCAAAGCAAAGATCTTCTTGCAAGTCCTGAAACAATGATATTATGTTAAGTTCAAATGTTAAATTTCCCCACAAACAGTTCTATATCAATGGAGCAATGGGACGGTCAGGATGTGTTGACTCACTTCTCAAACCTCGCGTATAGAGCCAGGGTCATGTCATACTTCTTCTCCAGTCGTGTCATTGCTGAATTCACCTTGGTGGAAATCGTATCCACGTTTACATCCAACTTCCTGATCAGAGCCATGAACTGCTTTACACTACAAAAGTAAGGATGACGTATTAATTCCACTACAGAAATCACACATTTGTATGTTTGCACATGGAAATCTGCATTGGCCCTTATCACTAAAAGCCCTTGAATGTCTTTAAAAGTTTACATCTTTGTCAACATTGACTACAACGATACTGAAATATTTTTAGTATTGTTGCTTTTCCAGTTTCAAGTCCACCATTTGTCAGAAATCTTATCAACATGCCTGCTTACTTGACATTTTCCAGCTGTATTCTCACATGCCTATTTCTAGACATCTTACTAGTGGGCTGTGACTCAGAAATTCATGTTTTCACATACATCCCACCCAGAATTCAGTCACTACAATAAGATTAAAAAAATGTTGCAATATCCCTTCAGTGCTCAGCCCAGACGTACTGTTTATTATTTTTGAACGAAGTGTCTATTCAAATCGGAGAAATCACATTACAAGCATTTGCACTATGCATGCTACAGAGTACTTACTTCAGACAAACTGCTTTCAGAACCTGAGTTAAGGTGAAGCAGGAGGCATCCATGTCTGTCACAGTCACAAACAGACAAGCACCCCACAGCCTTTTCTGACTGTCCTGAAATACATTGAACAGAGAGAATATTTATTTGAGATGCTTTTTCATCTACTTCTCTAACGCCATAAAGGATCGGTAAGTATTTTCATGTGAGTCAATGTCTGATACTGTTCTCAGTGACAAAAGTTAGTGTGTGAAAGAGGACAATGCATTTATAAACATATTTTCCCTTTTAAGGCAAATTGGATATTACTTTCTGATAAGCTTTGCGGATGCTGACAAATGGGAAGTTGGCTTTTTGAAACTTATTCTTAGTTTTACGCTTACATCGCTCATATTTATATTGTAGTGAATGGTTTATTACTTGTATATGTCCTTTGCAAATCTTTAAAACAGGCACAGTTTGATTGGAGTAGTGCTTGCAGTTTTTGAATCTCTATTCTTACAAAACAGCTTTCATCCACACTAATAGTTTCCATCAATGACCTTTCCTTTGCTTGACTAAGACTAAACTGACAAGCTGTGTACATGTATATATGCAAATACTTACAGTGACTTCCTCCATGGACTCTTGCACAGTTTTCCACAGGGTCCAGGCTCCGTCACACACCAGGTCTGTGACGTGCAGGCTCTTGCACAGGGTCACAAACTCTGCATCCTTGTCTCTGTGTCTGGAGGAGGGAGACATGCATCAATAATCATTATGGGGAACACAAACACAGCATCAGAACAACAACTCATGTGGAGAACACAAACACAGCATCAGAACAACAACTCATGTGAAGAACACAAACACAGCATCGGAACAACAACTCATGTGAAGAACACAAACACAGCATCAGAACAACAACTCATGTGGAGAACACAAACAGCTCAGAAACACTAACGCCTCCCTGAATGTGTATCACTCACGCGTATGTGTATAACAGCGTCACAACACACACTACAGACGACAATAACCTGTAACACGTGGACCCTTGTGTGTGATTGAAAGGTATCAATACGAAGCGGCATTATGTTAACACACGGGCCTAGCTTTGTGTGAAGCAGCTAGCTAAACAGCCTCACGATCACTCACTGCTAAAGTAAGACACCAGTAAAGCTAGCGTTAGCTTCACATTGCGGCTACAGCGTGTAAACAGTTTCTAGAGCAGCTGAACAACTCGCAGCAGAGACGAGAGAGCAGCCGCAGGAAAACTTACTTTTTAACAGATAACTCTGGACTCTCCTTCTTGTCCGGGGAAACACTCTCAGCCCCGGGCTTCAGCCCTTTGCTCTGCGGGGTCCCGGAGCCGCGCTTCTTAGGTGGCATCTCGGTGTTCGCTTAGCTGCGAGCTAAATGTGCAGGTTTTGAAAGTAAAACAGAGCTTATGAAGGAGGGGGAGCTGGTGTTTACTAAGTTTAAAGCCCACCACACGAATTCCGTAGCGACGCTACAACAAAACCCCGCTGCGGACTTCCTGAACGTGTGCGCGCTCGATTTGCAACACGGCAGTGCGCGGCGGGGCGCAGGTGTCGGCGGGGTCTCATCTGTTAGACGCATTGAACATTCAGAACTCCCACTAACGAGAATAAGAACTGTGTCCCCTGAGTGTCAATGATGTTTTATCTTAATTTGAAAGCAGTGGCGCTGCCGACAGTGTCGATCACTCACCAGATTGCAGCTTCGTCTGAGGTCTACCCGTGGACCTCTGTGAACGTAAACAGATCAGTGTGTGAGCACTGGGATCACGTGACGCACCGAAAACGAACGAACCCAAACTCACGAGAAGAAAACGCGGGAAAAGTTACTACGCAACATCCGCTCATTTGCATTTATCCCGCCATCCAAACCGGTCACAAAGGACCCCCCGCCTCTCAGTGTAGGAGGGTGATCGTCTCCTCACTCCAGCTGATCTGACGTAGTTATATAGTTATTACAGAGGCCTGACCCTGCAGAGGTTCACTTTGTTGTTGTCACGTGTTATTACGCGCCGATGTCCTCACTCATTTTAATTATCCAGGGACATTTCATTCTTCTTAAATGGGATCAATCATTCATGTTCACTTCGAAATCTTGTCTTTCACAAGTTTAAGTGTTTTAGTTTGCGGCCATGTCGTAAATATGCCTTCCCTGCCTCCCGAGCTATGTACAACGCTGCCCTCTTGAGGTTAAATACACGTATTGTTATTTTCAAAGCCTGTAATGTCATATCTCTATGTACAAGAAGTCAGTCCACTCTGCAGCAGGTGACCACATCACTGCTGTTTAGTTCACCACGAGTTAAGTATTGTTTCAAAAACAACATTTTAGAGGGAACTTACATACAAAGGATATTCTCCATCTTGTCTTATGTTTTTTAAATGGGAAAGGGTTTAGTTTAAAAAGGCATAGAGGTAATGATCACTGGAGAAAAGTCAGCTTGGTGAGGTCCTCTGGTGTTTTGAGGGCCACCGTAGATCTCCTCTCACCCAGGAAGGGAGGGGGGGAGTGAGGGGCACTGACTTCGATGCCATATTACACACTCAACCTTTAAAAGCTGGTCTGCAATATGTTCTTAAATCTATTTGTAGGTGTGACAATATTAATTTATTTTCAGAATGCTCATCTGCAGTGCAGACCACCAGACTAGCTTGTACTAATGAACAGAACCTTGAAAAAAGCAAGCATTTTTAGGTACCTTTATTTATTCTATGAATAATAACTTTTTAAAATCATTAATTTAAAAAGTAAAACAAATTAAAATTGTTCCAGACTGAGGCTGTGTCAAAACCATTTAGTCTGGCCGGCTGATGACTGATGTGGTCGCTTCTCCTGTGGTGAGTAGCAGCCAAGAGTCTCTGCACTTTGTCCCTCCTCCTTGAACAGGTTTAACAAAATCTGGTCCGAAAGCCGCTGCTGACCGAAGTCAGGGAAATTTCATTGTGCATTCATTATACTACACGACTATGACAATAAATACACATTCAAACATATCCACATAAAAAAACTACAATGAAAAATGAGGATGATCCAAACTTTACAGCTGTGACTTCATATGTTACACAAAGTTAAAAAAAAAGAAGTTAAAAAAATACTTTGGAATCATACATGATAGTATAAATAAAGCAATTAATCCACTCTGCCCTGCAGGACGCTGTGTGTTCAGCCACCAGAGCCTGGCTGGGGCCAGTATCTTAACGATAAATTCCTTTCTCTCTTGACAACGTAGTTTGCTCATTGCTATGCGTTCATCACAGCTCTCCACACTGTTACGCCTGGCTTCCCTCCTCCCATGTCATCGCAGTGAAGTCCATGTCTGTAAGTGTGACAGTGAACGGAGCATCCACCCTCTCAGGCTCCACACTCTCCTGTGCTGTCCTGGTGCTGTTCAGGTTGTTTACTCTCCAGGAATTCAAAGGTCGAATTGATTTCTGGAAACGCTGTTGGACATAACAAGGGACTCAAGTCATGAAACCCACACATGCCATTTCATCCACAAATACATTTAAACAGATAGAGCGGTGGTGTTTGGTTGGTTAGTGACCTCACACCAACAGTGACATAGTGGTAATACTGACTTCTTTCAGTGTTCCAGTTTCCTTGCAGATGGCCACAATAGCCCAGATGAGAATCTGCAGGCAGCAGGTCGCACCCATGCACACACCCAGTGCTTTACCCCACCGAGGGTACACGTAGGGCCCGTAGTGGAGGGACGTGTTGTACATCTCAATGAAGATGTACGTCAGGATGAACTACAGCCACAAGGGGAAAGGCAGAGAGTGAACAGAGGAATGTTTCGTCTAAAGAAAGAAAAGGAAGAAAGTAAGAAGAGGAGCAGAGAAATGCCGCAGGGGGAACTCAGATTGAATGACACTTTTGAATTATTCACCACTGTTGTTGTGAGGATTCCAGCAAAGTTGGCTACATTTCATATGAGAGATGTCATTTTAGTTTATTTGATCTTTTGTAATAATTTGTAATCGATTATTGACACTTTCTCTTTTATAGTTTCTGATAAAACTATTCGGTCATTTAATGGGATATTTTCTAACTTTCACGGGCTCATCCCTAATCAAGTTACAGCCTGAAAGTACAACAATACTAAACAATAAAGGAGCTTTTTCAATATCAGTCAACCTTGATTCTGCTTCAGGCAACATAAAGAGGAACAGCAGTAATGTGAGAGGGTGTGATGTCACATGGATTGTGAAAATGATACGAAGCAATATTACTGTAGATGATACTTGATTTAGCTCAATAGTACACATAGGCTGGTAGTGAAGGTCATGACTACTTAATGTTAGTAATAATTTTCAATTTGACAAAAATATTATTGATGAATAAAAATTATATTTTCTATCCAACTTCACATAATATATAACCAATTGCCTCATAAAAGAAATCCCAAAAAGTTATGCTATTTTTAGTGTGAAGTGCTCCGCAGAGGCCATATTGATTTCCAAAAGTCATGTGACGTGAGGCAATTTGAAAATCTAAAAGTAAATCAGGAACACAATGGATCAAGATAACATGAACATTTCTTAGAACCAAAGAAAGGGGATCTGCCCTTAACTAGTGACCCCAAATGATGTTCTCATTGTGGCAAAAAAGAAAAAAAAGTCCTCATTGATTCTGTGTCGGGTGTTGTACATGAGAACAAACAGGTCTTTTTACTTCAGAGTGAGGAGTAGTTAAAGCAGCATAATGTCAGTGCACTGAGATCAGGGCTGGGCCATATGGTCGAAAATGATATCAAGATAAAATCCTCACGATAAAACATCACATTATCATTTCTAAGCTTGATAAAATGCAAATTTAGGTTTGTGTGTGTTACATCTCCTCACTGTGCCTGTAAAATGAACAATCAATATATCAGTATATAATGTTTTTTTATATTGCTATTGTTGAAAACTATATTGCAATAGCTATTGTTATTGTTTGATTGATATGATTGAGCTCTATGGTTTTGTTTAGTGAGATTAGATTTTAGAGATCAGATGACTCATGGAAGTTTAATTCTGATAATCTGAATAAGCAATTGTGTCACACTGTACCTGCATCGGGCCAAATACCAAAAAATATCACGTTTACTCACCAGCAGAAGAAACGGAGTGAAGAAAACCCAGCATGCTTTGAAGTAAAGCAATACTATGCTGCACCAGGGAGGGCAGGGGTAGATCATATCAAGAATGTCTTGACAAAACTGGTTGACTCCTAAAAAGAAAAGTTCATTAGGAGATGTGTATTATGAATGCTGGAAAAACCAACATAGAAACTTGTGTTCAAGTTATTATTAAGCAAACAACAAAACGGTGAAATGATAATTACTTGAATCAGTTCTCATGCTCTAATCAGAATTAAACTCTTGGTTCTTTAAGCCCCTGTCCCTCTGGATAAAGAGGGGAGTGCATTATGCAAAGAATCCATACAACGTACTTGAGGAAAGGGAAAAACTACTACTTTAAAATAGAGCATAACAGTGAACAGCTCTGGTTCTGGTACTAAATTTCCAGTTTGTTTCAGAAAATCTCTATAAAAACAGTTTTAACACTTTGAACCAGGTCGACCAGCTACATGATGAATGTGACCATAAAATATTTGATTCGGAGCAAAACAAATATTGGAAAATTGAAAAGAGGGCGGAGGTACAAGACTGTGTACATTATTGTCTTAAGAATAAAGGAACTACGTATCCCATAAACCATTTCAAATTAATCCTTTCCAACAATTTCCACTGCACTTCACTGAATGATCCAATCTTAGCCAACATGATTTTCACAGTTGTGACAAACATTTCCATATTTCACAATCTGGTATCTTGTGGCGAGTCTCCTTAGGATTGCTATAATATTATGGCTGATTATAGGATTTTTACTTCTGAAACAACACTGTTGAGCTCTAGAGAGACTGGTTTTGCTTCACAACACAGCAGGTCAAGTTTCTCTTCTTTTATAACTTGCGTGTCTTGGATAACTCATACAGAGGAATAATGTAGTGTTAGGGGAGTTTGATGTGAAGGTTAAAGGGAGTGAGATGGACTACCATAGAAGAAGGAGATGCCAATGCACATGAAGAGGGTGATGATGATGAGGCCGAAACTAGTGCTGAAGGAGTCAATGAGGGTGAACCAGTAAATCCCACCCTATGAATACACAGACAACACAGGGGCACGTGAGTGTGATCACAGAGAATATGCATTTGCAGACAAATTCCTCATTTACAGCAATTTACTGAAAACATACTCACATTGGTCACTAACAGGAGACCCAAAAGGTAGAAGCAGAAACACAGCGCGCCCAAGAACAGGGACTTGTGCAGTGCATTCCCTCTGAGCTGCGGAAATTCATCCATCACGGCGGTTGTGATGCCCTCCATGTTGCCGAACTGTGAGGCAGCAGAGCAGAGGACGTCACACATGAGGACATAAATTGTGTTTTTGCCAGCAAACACCATCCGGTTAATTGAGTGTGCAGACTCACCAGTGTATCAATACCAAGCATAAAGAGCATGAGGAAGAACAGGATGGACCAGAACACAGAGCCTGGCAGGAGAGCAAGGGCCTCTGGGTAAGCAACAAAAGCCAAACCAGGACCTGGACGCAAAATAGATCATAATCAACACAAGGAAGTTGAAAGTTGAGTTGTAGTAAGTTGTTTGAGGTAGCTTGTATAATGAAATATTACTGACTGACTGCAAAGAAGAAAAGTAAGACTAGATTAAATTCATAAAAAAGAAGCACACACAAATACAGACAAATTCCACAAAACACCAATGTAATGAAATTATTTCAGAGAATATATCATTCTTAAAAACTACACAGAAGAGTACAAGTGTGAATTGTATTGTTTTAAGTTGTTTAAGTAACTACCTGTATCTGCCACCTCTGCAACAGGTACCCCCTTCCTCCACGCCATGTGACCCAGGATTGAGAATATAGCAAATCCTGCAAGGAAGCTAGTGCTGCAGTTTCCTGTGGTGATAATCAAAGTGTCCCTGAAATCAAAAGAACCACGATTAAGAGCCTGAAACTGTCACGATGGCAGCAGCAGAGAAAATGTCGGAGCGAAGTGCAAACTCACCTGATGACGTTGTTTTCAAACTTATTGTAAGAGGCCATAGAAAGCAGCCCTCCGACTCCAATACCTAAGGAGTAGAAGACCTGTGAGGCTGCATCATTCCACACCTGCAAAATTGGAACAAGGAATATTATTTAATTGTTTATCATTATT